TTTTTTTTTTTTTTTTTTTGAGATTTCAATTTGTAATATTATTTTTCCTTTTGAAATGATTTTTTCTTTTTTGGTTTTGAGCTATGAAAAACTTGTGGTTTAATTAGTTGAACTACATATATAATTTAGTTGGTAGGTTATTAATTATTATTCTTCTCCTTCACCATAAGAAACTAACTAGTATTCGGCCCTGTGCATTTGCACATATGTAAATAAAGTATTATGAGTTATTTGTATGCATATAATGATTAATTATTTTTTTTTCACATTTTTGCTGACCAAATTTACAATTCAAGGAGTTAAAAAATTTATTTTTTTAAATTGTATAATATATATTTTGGTACATCTTTTTTTTGTGAATTATTTATTATATTTAGCAATTTCAAATACGTTTTTTTTAAATTAATTTAAATGTAACCACAACAGTAACATCTAATCAAATTATACGGTTAACACATTATATGGTCAACTGTCAGTAATCAAAAGTTTAAAATAATTTTTGTAATTTTGAAGTGATTAGTGTTGATTATTTAATAATTAAATGAAAGATTAAATACATTAAAAGTAACGGTTTTTAGAGGGAAAATGGTCAAATTGCCACATAGGTAAAATTAAATAGGTTTTATTAAATGCTATTAGCTAGTAATTATATATATATAGATGGCAGCGACAATAATGATCAACAATTACAAAAATTACACTATCAAGAAGTAGCAACTATATATTATCTTCAGTGATGTGTATGTGAATGTCAATCGATTTTATTTTTCCTCATCAATAGTAATGAATTTGATGTCATATCATTTTATCAGAGTCAATTTATTGAAATGTAAAAGTTATGAATACTCAACTATTTTTCTTAATCTATGTGAAAAATAACTAAAATGTTAAATAGAACAACTCTGAGTATTGAGTAAGCAATTGATTTACAAGTTTTTCAGTTGTAATCTAACTCCATGAATCTGCACAATTTGGACATAACAAATATTTTACCATCATATTCCTCGAAATTTAAAAATTGT